ACTTTTTACGCATTTGTGCTCGAAATTATTCTTCTGACAATATATCTTGTTGATATATTATCAAAAGAATAACTTCCAGCATTCCAGTTATTCGCAGTGTAAAATGTATTAAAAATTAAAAAGTTGTTTTTTGAAGACGATCAAAGAATCTTTAGAGACAATACTCCGTATAATATGAGCTTGTTTTACAAGATTATTTCATAGCTATTTACTTATATTTTATAGTAGTAATTAGGTATTGTATGTAAATTATATGAAAATGACACTAAAGTAACCAAAATTATAAATATTTTATATTTACGATAAAAATACAATAAAAACAAATTAAATTAAATTTTAGAAAATACTGTACTATACATACTGTACTGTACTGTATACTGTACTGTACTGTACTGTATACTGTAATATATATGTACACATATATTATACTTTGGATAATATATGTGTACATATATATCGTTTCAAAAATTGTGTAAATAGAGTCTTTCTTTTAACTGTCTCATATGAAATTATCTCTATTCTTTCTTTTAGAAATGAGTCTTTTTGTTCAATAGGAAAATAATATTACATTAAGTAATAGTATTAATCATTAAATATGTAGACGTGATATCTTTTATAATAAAATAGCAACGTGTGAAGGGTAAGGCATATATAACAATGTTGACGTGGTAGTCGTGTTGCTATTGTATGTACCATATACTCCTATAGGTGACGATTGACGTCTGATTATTTTTTGTTTACGATGATTAGACCTTTATCCTTACTTGCCTATAAGGTATATGTATGGCATAGATAACGATCATTTCGCCCATGGTTGGAGGCGTGGAGTTTAGTAAGTCGACGCACGTCACCGCGTTGTTTCTGACGCCGGCAACGCCGTCGCGACGTCGCGTCGTTGCTTCATCACATATTTAGGATTACAAGACATTGGATCTAATTATTATCGAATTAAAAATATATTTGTTTATTACGGGTACGATTAAACCGAGTTTAATCGTACCCGTAACTAACTGTACCGTCAGAGATCGTAACCGGAGATGTGGGTGCTACCTTTTATAAGGCTCACTATTTGTTAATGCCCCGCGGTAGCGACTAATCATCTAGGTGGTATATCCACTGTCACATCTATTGGCGTCAGTTATTTTTATTTAGTACTTCTTACTACTACTATTTACCTTAATTTCAAACGTTCTTTGGGAAACAGACATATCTTCATTTATGGGTGTTTTCTTATTTACTTAGTTTACTAGTTGTATTTTTCGACGTTATCCGCATGAATTTATGTAAAAAATATGTTATCAATCTAGGAAAAGTTATCCTGCCATTTAAGTGTATTAACAACCATCAAAATGGTAATATTAGTGGTTTCACAAGAGTAATATTAGTTTATATAATATAAATGTATTAATTCATTGTTCTACCTTCAATTTATTACTGTATATTACGAATTTATTTCAGGAAAACTTTACACACTTCTGTTTTGTTTATAAGGGGCAATATGATAAACCTTAAAATGGTTTTGGTTTAATTCCGCGATAAGGCAAAAAGGGTTAAGAGAGCGAACCGCCACGTGCCACCCGACAGCTGTATCCTTCCTTATGAATAAAACATTACTTCACATGTTGGGAGGACCTGTTGAAAGCTGCCGGTAATCGCAAGTTCCCACCACATAATTTAAACATGTCCGCTGTGGTCGATACTAACATATGCGACATGATAATAGTTTTCAGCGATTGTTTAGTTTATATAAACTTGAGTAATTAAAGTATAGTAACAAGTGTTTGTTCTCTTTAAGGAATAATGATAGTAATTAACAATATGGTTATAGCCATAATCATAATTTTTGCCATTTACTGTACTACGAGGGATAAGTGTGAAACATTCTGAGAGGAACGAACAGTTCCTGTCAAAATGTTTCAATTTAAATACTACTAAATAGATTTAAGTACCTAAAACCTTATGTATATGTAGATGACGTATTGAAAATTAATAAAAAATATATACTTACTTTCCTCTTTGAGGGGTACTTTTTAAAACCTTCTATAGTCAATATGTTGTATAATATATTCTATGAATATTTCATCGTAATTCCTTTTTACAAGCAACAGACAAACAGATATTTTTCTCCTCGCTACCATTTTAGTCATATAATAAAATGGTAGCGTTTCATATAAAAAAAAGAATTACATAAATATTACATGACCTTATTAGATCTTAGAACTATATTTTTCTTTATAAATGCTCACAATTATTATTTTCGTTCTCTTATTTAATATATGAATTATACGTGTATGTACTTATCATAGACAAGCGGTGTAATTGTGTGTCTTCATTATCCCTTAATAGAACCATGAATGAATGGATAGCCATTCATTCATGGTTCTATTACTTTAATGACTTTAATTCTATTATGACTGAAAGAAGGTAATTTTCTTTTTATTTATCTCGTACTAATATTATGCAAATATATATTTGTTGTATATGTGAATTTTTAATACCAATAGTGGCAAACATTTTTGAAAAACCTCATACTATAGATATATATAGATATATCTATAGTATGAGGTTTTCAAAAAGGCACAATAAGGGTTTTTTAACGGTCGCTAACCAATTGTCGTATGTTTGCCATTATTGGTATTAAAAATTCACATATACAACAAATATAGATGAAAAATCATACTATAGATATATATAGATATATCTATAGTATGAGGTTTTCAAAAAGGCACAATAAGGGTTTTTTAACTATACCTATCTAGGTTTTCTCTATAGAAAATCTAGATAGGTATAGTTACTATAACCTGTATATATATAACCATTACTATAACAGCTTTGTAGGTGTTGTTAAGTAGATATTTCGCTTTAGACGAAAGCGCTAATTGTAGTCGGCATGTTTAGCATAGCTAGTTTCAAAACGGCTGTTAGGTACGGTCAAGGCTTTAGTTTCGAATATTGACAAGACCCTTTCCTTGTTCTGTTGTTTGTAATATCTGAAGCGGAATTAAATCAACAAATAGTTACACTGAAATTTTGGCTTTATACTGTGAAATTTGGATATCAATATTTTTATGTTGACTTGACATAATATAGTAAATATTTAGTTAGATTTACAATCATTATTAAACGAATATTTTATCGATTGCGAAGAGGATAATTAAAATCCATATATGTCTATACTATAAGTAAAATGCGGACTATGTTTTCATAGACTGTGAGTCTGCATGTAGTTTTAATTGCAACATATATTTTTTATATTAGGAATACCTACATTACGGCATTTAAATTGAAATAAGAAGAAAACACCGTCGAATTGGGATCCTTTTCTTTTTGGTAGTCGGCCAAAAGAATCTTCACAACAGATAGTAATTCAATTTTGTAAAGCTTTTTTATAGTAACAACTAAAGAAAAAGAAAAAGATCCTTTTCCCTTCTCCCTAAATGTATTATATGATATGGAATTCTTATAATGGAAATAAGGCGTACACACCTACCCTTTACTACCTTTTTTCATAAAGAGATGTAAATATAAACTTACAATTCTGCATTTGTTAACATTTAAATAACTAAACAATTATTTGTCTCATTAATTTCGCTTTAAAAGCAGCTTGCTTTGTAATTATTGTCTTGGTTGTAGGGCGAAATTAAAGAGAAGAGACGTAACATCTTTGGAATGGCAACGCATGAGTGGTTTCACAAGCGTCACATGATAACGTGATGTTCATGCTACCGTTTAGGTATGCTTGTATACTGTATCTATCAGTATAGGTGGACTGTCAGTTTATATATCATTAAAATTAGCTAAAAAAATATTAGAAGCGTAAAATACATCCGAACTTCAATGGAAATTACAGACAAAATTATATCAATAAATGTTTAAATATTCCAAATTTTAATAAATACGTTTTTTTTATTTTCTCTTATTGAAAGGAAGCAGTCCGTTGTTCAAATTGGCGCGATTCAGAATCAAACTTGAGACGCCATAGCGGTTACCAAATTTTCAAACTGTATTACAGCATATAATAATATATTGTTATTGACGAGTACAACACTACAGTTGTACTCTTCAATATCAATATATTAGATTTATATGTGGTAATATTATATCGGCCTCATTTCGAAATAGTCACTAGTGACCTTGTAATGAAAGCCTTTTTTCTTTTGTAATAATCTATTAACTTATTTGCTTTAAAATATGGCATTGATTTATGACTGGAATTATTATGAATGGTATTGCCCTGAAAAGAATTTTAAAAGCTGTCATTTTAGACAGTCTTTGTACGGACTTGCTGAAGCGTATAAAAAATAATGAATTTCTTTTGAAAGCATTATAATTGTACCTTAGAGTATTTTGATCATTTTCGGTCAAAATATATGAAATAATTGTCGGAAATATGTGTAATAACATTTCTGGGGGATTGAGTGAGTGAAATATTTATAATCATTTGTACATACCCAAGTACATCATATCCCTTGTAAAGGTTGTTTGTTAACTCACAAGTTCAACCATTATCACTATTTCATTTGGTATACGCATAATATTTGAAACAGGTCAGTGTTTATTCTAGTCTGTTTGAGTCAGACAACGCGTTTATCAAATAGATGGAAGATTATTACTTAAATTTATTTATGTAAAATTTATACAATTTTTATTCTTGCATTGATTGCTAGTTATGTTAATGGATTACAATATTTTTTGGTATTGTACGAATGAATGACATGAAATAAATTATTATAAAAGTAGTCATTAGTTGATATTAAACTAACTGACTAACCCTACCCTAGAAGGGCTACAGATGATAGTTATTTTTCAAAACAATACCAAGATTTTATCTTTAAATATTAATTAACATCGATAGTCCTAATTTATAATCGTCAATATTAAAAGAAATAATAATAAAGAAATAATACGAAACAGATACTTTTGTCTATTACCCATCTATCCTATTGAGAGCTACATACATACGTGTCTGATATCGATAGCTGTTCTAGAAAAACCTTTAGAATCATAGCGTATATTTCACGTAGTGTGTATTTATTTTTTATTTAAATTAATGAGTATTAGAGTAGAACATCATTAATCTAAGAGTATTTATGTTTGAAAAATAAACGTGTGTCAATTTGAGTGGAGAAATATTATGTCAGATTAAATTCGGACAACTGTAAATAAAGCTTTGTTGCATATGTACATTTGGTTGGAAATAATGGAGATCTCCGCTTTAGATGTTAACGGTTATTGACATTTATTAATAGATATGTTGATTAATACTTTGAAATAAAAGTTTTCAATAATATACAGCTGATAAGAATACATATAAAGGAGTTAAAATACCTAATGGTAATTTTGTTGTCAAATCTATAATCTGCTAACAAAATATGGTTATAAAAAATGTGAGTTATGATTTAACATGTGCCTAGATCATCAGGTTAAAATCTCGACAAAAGGTGGGATTATTGATGTAATGCGCACATTTCCGCAGGGGGGTCTACCAACAATATTGCAAAGAATCCGAAAGTTCGGAATGTGGCAGAAAAGCCATTGGGCAAAACTGTGGCAGAATTCTTAAGGTCAAATTTAATTTATTCTACGAGTACTTTCAAAATAGCGCATAGGTATATCTTAAATGTACTCGGAAGAAAGCCTTGAAACTAAATCCTATTATAAAGAATGAAAAGAAAGAAAGAAAATTGTTTATTTGGTACACTGAAAATAATTTTTAAAATTTAATTTACATTTTATATTAATAATTAGTGTACCAACTAGATCTCCGCTCAGCATATGTCGTGACGGGGTGCCACGACGCTGGTTTTCAGCGGACACCTTCATATACAATAAACATAATAAAATAATAATAATATATTAATTACATATATGTATGTAGATACCTTTTTAAGTACAAATAGTACATATATATATATGACTAGATATCTAGTAATATATTATTATGATTATTAATTTAAAATTAAAATAATTTTCAATACAACAAATATACAACCGATTTTTCTGAGAAAAAGTTTTATACTAAAAAAATACTTAATAAGTAAATACAAATATTGAATGTCAATAATAAAAGAAGTTTCTTATCCTTGCTTATCACAAAATATAATCCTATATATACATGGTGTCAACAAAATTTGGCATTGTGTATTCAAATCAAGTTTACAAGTCGCAACATAACGACTTACGGGATTTGTGGTTAGGAAAGTCTCATTTCCCCGCCTGTTCTCTCGTTATTTTATACAGGAAATAAGCAGGGGTTGTATTGTTGTGTAATGAAATATCAGACAGGGAATCTGTGGACTTGTAACAGGAAGCTATTACTACCTAAACCGTTAATTTAAGAGATACACTTTGAGATTTTTTATAATATTATTTTTATACTTATAATATATATTAATAAAAATGTGAAATCATCATGAGACTGAAATTGTTTGCTTCTTAAACAACAACGTAACGTGAAGAATTATGATCATATTTTCATAGATTATACGGTCTTAACAGTGTAGCATATACTTGATTTTTGTGCTGACTTATATATGGTACCTCTAAGAAATAAATATAGACTATGTCCGCTCTACGTTAAGTTTCAATAAGATCCGATCAGCTTGAAATAGTTATAAAAAGACAGAAAAATATAGTTCCACATTTATATTATTTCGTATGTATATTACCTGTATTACATATATATTATATATATGTATCTATACTTATTTCAATAGCTATTCATTAAAACAAGTGAAGTATTATTACAGCTAAGTTATTATTGTGGTTCTGGATCATGAATACTTAATAATATCGTAGGTTTTGCATAAACAAATTATGCAAAACCATAACTTGGCATGACTCGTAATTGTACTTGACGCTATGTAAACTAAACTCAATCAAAATTTTTATGATTATTTTCTTGAGAGTTTTATGTCTTGTTTGATTTCCTTGTTTGTTTTTCATTCTTTTCCAATTGAAAACTTATGAATTAATTTACTGTTGAATACTAAAGCACAAGTAAATTGTAGAAATGTGGTACTACAGTATATTTCTAAATTATAATATAAAATTAGAAATGAAATAATACTTATGATTAACATAACTAAAATTAAGTATTTACAAATTGTGTCTCTCATTATTAGAGACTGACTCACTATGAAGTAAATAACTGTATTTTAATGAAACTGAGTGTATATTAAACACAAATAAATATTAAGGTATATTTATATGTGTTGTTATAATTTACACTTTCGTATTAATAGATAGACCTGATGAACATCTATAAAAATGACTGTGTCATGATAGTTATTTCTACATAGTAATTTTTATACGTTAATATTAAAAAGATTATATTTACAAAAAATAAAAGTGTATTGTCAATCATGACAGAAAGGACAAAATGTGTGAAATAAATAGTAATGACTTAAAAGTCACATACAATGTATCACCACATTTTAAGCTATATGTACATATATTACATTATATATATTAATTACTTTCCATTTCAACGACTAAGTGCAAAAGGTTCATTATGTGCGCAGGTTCAAGAGTTGTTAGTAAACAAACAGTTATATAGCCACCAAGTGACATGACACATGTTGCTGACCTTTGCTGACACTCCGTTTAATTGGAGAGCACTTTCTATAGATATTTCTTTTAGATATTTGTAATAGTACTATTAAAGTTGAATATTTTAAATTTAATGACTACTTATTTACTAGGATTTCCTAGATTTATAGGTAAAATAATTATTAAAATCAGTCGAGTAGGTACTTTTGAATGTAAGAATATTATTTATAAACATACATAATAAGGAAAAATTGTATCATATTGATTCAAATAGCTGATATGTTTATTATAATTATATATTATGCATTGACCTGTCTTGTGATGATCCCGCCGATCGATCACTTTACAATACAAACAGTACTGTGAGCGAGCTTTGTTATATGCGTAGATATTAACTAAAAATGATTTATTATATAACAAAAAATATTATAAAGATATAACAAAAATATCTTTTTTATATCGTTTATAAATAAAGCACCTAATTAGCTATATAGTTGTACTTATCTACATATGTATGTATAATATAATAAATACTTGTACCTACTATCAAAAGAGGACAAAACCGCCGAGGCGCAGATGATAATATAATGATGAGTATTTCTTTTAGCCATGATACTGAATATATATTAGTACTTAGGAAAATATGTATTTTATTTGTTTATATGGCATATTGAAACATTATATCGTCCGGTGGATAGAGAAACCTAATTAATCTGATTGATGGCGGTAGACTCGTGCCTTGCTGCCGCATTAGATTCTAATTATATGTACTCACAGTAGTTCATCACTCTATACTCAAACATATATAAAAGTGAAATGTACTCATTACATTTATTATTGTTTTTTACATTTATATTTTTCTGATTGTAGCATAAACGTATAAAAAATATTATCTATTCGAAAATTAAAAATGACAATTTTATTAAAAATGACATCTAGTTTGGAACTAAATAGAGCTTGTTCTATATGTGCTAGACAACTGATAGATTTACTCAGATTTTTTTTTGTAATATAATATTTAACGGTGAATAGTAGTAGACTAGACTAGATAAACTTATACATTGTGTAGACAAAATTATAAATGGCAAACAAGTTGACAGCTCGGTTATTGTATGATACTCATGCGTTACCTTTCTTGAGGCATAACATAGCAGATGCCTTCACATCCTGTAATTTCACTGCTTAATTATCCACCCTTCAATCGACTAGAAGTTTATCAAGCTTGTCAGGTGAAATAAGTAAGACAGGTATCTATGCATACGACTTTTTACAAAATCTACCTTTGTAATGTTTCCATAGTGCAGATGTAGAACCCGCGACAGCTGGAAAATGAGGTAGAATGCTAAACCACTAAGCCACCGAGGTTATCGTTGTAATAATAAAAACTATCAGCATTGATATATATATATAACTATAATAGATATTTTTCCCTATGGTGTCATAACTTAGGAATTTTTGAATTCGTGATATGTACCTACATATTCAGACGTAATATCGGATCGAATATGATTAATATGAATTGGTCGTTTGACCTTGTCCTGTCTCGTCTTCCATAATGCAATTTGTATTCGTATGATATATTAATGTAGCAGCAATTCACAGTAGTTAAACTTAAGTGAACTTTTATATTTACTGCTCTATCTTATGGTATCCTCTTTATGAATTTCTATTTACACACTAATACTAATGAAAAATATAAGTAACAATATTTATATTGTTACTTATATTACTAGGCTAGGCACAAAGACAATTTTTTTATGGATGCTAATGGAATGGTGCACCAACATGCGCTGTCGGTTTACGCTGGCGCGGCACTATTGGAGGATGGTAAGATGAACATGAGGTCAGGTCAGTTAGCCCATCGTGACAAATTCACTAAGAATTTATCACGATTGTTTCCAGGGGGTACCGTGTGGAGGTCAACCAAACATGATACATTACTAGCAATAAGAGCATCATTCCACATTACTAACAATCTCCATTCCCCCGACAAAGGGTATTGCAAACCAAAAGTCAAGTAAATACTCATAAATGTGAGCCATCGAATAACAAAGTAAATATTTCCGAGTAGTTTGTATGAAGGTTTTAAAAATTCGTTACCTAATTTTTTTGAGAAATTATGTTTCTTAGCTTTTGGCTTGATATTGTTTTACGAACCTGTGTATATATACAAATATATTAGGATGTGTATAGCAATGAATAGCCTAAACTTTTTGATATATTATAATTAATGTGTTATCAAGTTGAGTTAGATTCATTATAAAATATGGGGCGCCATACCGACAACAAAACGACGGTATAAAATAAAATAGAGGGTACAGACTCTCTAGAACCTGTGAAATTTGACATTTGGAAATTTTGTTGATTTTGTTACATCCACACTTGTTGGCATACATAACTAACCCCGTAAGTCAATAGATTTTATACAAAATTAAAGATAGTCTGTATTAGTAATATAT